CAACAAAACCTTCATCATCTTTGGCAGAATAACTCTAGTATCGCCACTAGGATAAAATAGTAATCTCTCTGTCCAATTTCTATTGTCCTAAAGTATATTTACACGAGTTTTTAAGTGATTGTGTTATTGTTATGAATTGGCAAATTTGTCCTTAATTGTGTGGTAGAGATTAAAATTAATAAATGAACGAAGGGTAAAAATGTAAAATTCGTGTTTAGAAAAGAAAATAAGACAATAGTTATTAGACGTCCCAAATAAAAAAAAGTAGGATATTAGTTTGTGAACGGAGGAGGGAGTATTTAAATATAACATTTTTATATAAAAAAAATATTAAATAATACTCCCTCCGTTTCAGTCAAGATGATCCCTTTTGTTATGAATACGGTATTTTAGGTAGTATAAATTAGTAAGTTATTAATAATAAGTTATGATATTATTTTTTTATTTTTTTATACAAGTAACGTTGTTGGCATTTTAAATATTTTTAACATTATATTTCAATAGAATATATATTATATGAATATGATTTTGTAGAGAATAGAATTTTATATAATACATATAAATAAAAAAATTATTTATTTATAATTAATTTTTAGAAAACTAATTTTATAAAAAAAAATAAAGAGTTTTAAATATAAAAAAAAATATTTATTTATTAAAAATATAGAAATAAAAAAATTTTCCGTTGATCCTAAGTATAACAAATTAAATTTTTAATTAAATTAATTTATATTTATTAAAATGTTTAAAATAAATAAATTTATTTAAAAAATAATAATAAAAAATCATCTTCTTAAAAAATAACAATAAATAAATATGTTGTGACATGTGTCTGACTCTAACTCATCACCAACTTCATTGACTTTCCTTCCGACTATGTGTTTGTTCGAGGTGTTAGATTTTGCATTGAGATTTGAATATTAAAAATTTTAAATTATAATAATTATATGATGTGATATAAATAGGTGTTGATGTAATGTTTTGAATGTAAAATTATTTTTTAGTATAATATAAAAAATAAAAAAATAGGGATTTGATTTCATATTCTTAAAATTTTATGTATAGAAAAATTTTGAAGAAATTTTCCAAACAAACACACCCTAAATGTGTTTCTTTACATTCTGAAATTTTGGGATGTTTAATTTTTTTATAAAAATATTACTCCCAATATTATATAATGTCATATTTTTCATTTCGGTTTATTTTACATTTTATATTAATATTTTATAAAAAAAATTTACAACTTTAATTATATTTTTATTTTTTAATTTTAATTAGACTAATTATTTATTTTAATTTATAATTATTTATATTATATTGTAATTAATTATGCTAATATATGTTCTTAATTATTTATTAATTATATTCTTTTCTAAATTCTCTTGTGTACAATAATCGTGATTATATCTAGGATGGAGAAGTATATTAAATATATTTGGTAAATTATATAATATTTTCTTGTATTTTAATAAAATTATACAAAATACCTCATATTTTATTTATTTTAAATTCTTTTGTGTTAAATTAAAGCATGAACAAAGTATTCTATTCCTCCAAAGTTGATGTTACGTTGTAAAAAATAGATAACAATTTTTCTTCAAAATACTACTCTCTCCGTCCCAGATATTTTGAGCTTATTATTGTAGATACGAGAATTTAGGTAAAATATAATTAGTAGGTAATTAAAAAATATATTAGTAAAAATAATTATTATTTAGTAAAAATAATTATAGATTAAGATTAACATAAGCAAATAGTGTAATTAAAATTGAGAAAATTTTAAATTTTAAATTTTAAAATTTGATTAAAGTGCATAATTATATTTTTAAAAATAGAAAGGACAAGTTATGTGGGACCGACAAAAAATAGAAAATAGAGACAAATTAAGTGAGACGGAGTGAGTACAAATTAAAAGATTAATCAATTATTTATGTATTTATTTTTCTAAAAAGACTATTTAATATGTTTTGCTTATTTTATTTGTATAAAATTTACATAATTAAGTCTATATTTACAATTAAATATCAATTTTTGGACGAAAATGATGTTTATATGCATACTTTAATTTAATATAAAATATTTCACACAATAAATAAAATACAATGTATTTTTTTTGTATTTTTATCAAAATACAAGAAATATTATATAATTTAGGTAAAATTGAACAAAATTTACTTGTGGTTCCGCAAAATTGTGTTAAATCTCCGTACATTCGAAACTGTATTAAACTTCCTTATATTTTCATAAATTCTGAGTTTCATTCCTTCGGTCGTCTTTATTTAATAGTGTTTGACTTACACGCATTCAAACTGCGATTAAGTTTCAAATCTCAAATTCTAAATATCTAAAATTACAACATATTCATTCATCTTATATTTACTTTCGGCGAACAATAAAAGAATTATTAAAATCAAAATAAAATAATTATTTATGCGTGTGTATATATATACTGTTACTTGAGGCTAAATATAAGAAGTATAAATATACTTATAATTTCATGGATTTTAAGACCATAGTTTCTTAAACAATTTTGAAAGTACGAAAATTTGACGCAATTTTGTAAAATTACAAATTGATTTGTATAATTTTCTTATAATTTTTCTAATTTATTTTTATCTTATTTCCTTTTCTCTGTCATTTAAATTTATTTTTATTTTTTTAAATAAAAAATACTATTTTTTTTTTCTTTACCGTATTTTTTTTTCTTTCTATTTTTACACAGTTTTTTTTTTTTTTTTTTTTTTTTTTTTTCTTTTTTTCTTTAAATCCTTGCCTGGTCAAATTGTCATAAGTTTATAAAGGGAGTATATAAGTGTCACTTTAAATAGAAAAACATCATAATCCATTCGAGCTCCGGGACTTCAGCACCAGTTAGCCCCTTCTATTCCAATGCGATTCTGTTTGGTCCTGGGAGTCGCCACACAATCTAAAAAATTAATTAAGTTATCCACATATGGTATATATAATTGCTTAAATTAAAAATATCATATTTATATTCCAATCATAAATATATTATATACAAATTTTATTATATCACTCACTTTCATAACGACTATTTATTAATTTATCTAACAGTACGGGTTTGTTTGGATGAATTTTTGCGCTTGGATGAGAAGGTTTCAATTTTATTTTTTATTTCAAAATACGGTATAATATCCATTTGATTTTTGTACGCAAATATTAGTATTATATTGAGATAAAGTAAAAATAAAGATAAAATGACTAAATTAACCATATTAGTATTGTATAATATAAATGTAATGACATTTGTGTAATATATTGTAAATTGGAAGGATACTTTTGTAATCTTAGGTATATAGTACAATTATTAAAAAACAAAATGGATATTTTGTTATGGGACGGACCAAAATAGAAAAATGGATAAATTGTTAAGGGACAGAGAGAGTATTTACTTTTTATATTTTTATTATAAAAATATTTTTACATTCAAAACATAATATTCATATTTATTTATATCAAATCAAATAATTCGTGTAATTTAAAATTTTATTATATTCCACATGCACTGTAATAGGGTTTGTTTGTCCAATCAAAATTTTTTTGACATGATTTGTAATATATATAAATATGTATTTTATTCTTTTAAAAAAATCAATATTCAACATAAAATATTCTTTTTATATTACGGTATAATTTCAAATTATACATCAAAAGAATAACTCAAATTAAAATACTAAACAAACAATTTTTTTTTTTTCATATAAATATCCTATACATCAAAAGAACTAAACTAAAATATTTTAAAAATAAAATATAAAATATTCTTAATTGTTATTTTAAATATAAATATCTAATATAAAATTGCTATTTTACCAAATATTTTAACACAAATACCTAACATATTCAGTTAATTAGAACAATTAATCGAATTAATAATTATAAACTAACAACTAATTATTAAACACTCTTTCAAGGCGGCGGCAACACTGTGCTGAATAACTCATCGTGTCCTGTTAGACAACACATAATATTACTACAAACAACACACTGTATATGTTAATATAATACATATACAACACATGAACAAAACACGCATGCTATAGTCTCAACAACACACAATATTACTACATGCAACACACAATATTACTACATACAGTACATTGTATATATATATATTAATATAATACGAATACAACATATGAACTAACAACACATGTTATAGTCTCATATAGCACACACACTTTTCATATTTAAAAAACAACACATACCTTTATTATACATAGTATGTGTTGTCTGTAATACTAATGTGTATTGTTTGCATATATAACGTGTGCTGATGATGTGAAAAATGTGCTGATGTTTACCATCCCCTCTTTCAATAAAAACAAGATGGATTTTAGAATCCATAATATTTTTACTACAGTTGGCAATGAGTCGATTCGTGTCGGATTAAATACTTTAAACGGTACTCAATCCTAATCCAACCCGTTTATTATCGTATCGGGTTCGGGTTGATTCGTGTTGACCCATATATATAATTAAGTCGAATTTCTTAATTCAAATTAAATAATTTTTTGTTGTATTGTCGTGTTATGTTAGTTTTTATTGATTTCAACGTAAATTATGTTGAATTATTTAAAATCAAACTTAGTTTGAATTAATTTATAAGAAATTACTAAAATATGATTATTTTACATCTATAATAAATATATTAATCAATATTCATATATTATAATCGGATTGTCGTGTCGGGTTCGATGTGAGAGTCTCAACCCTAACCCGACCCGTTTATTATTATTTCGGGTTCGTGTCAACCCGTATACATAATCAGTTTTTGTCGGCTCTAAATTTTATGGAACAATTCTGAAACCTGCAGAACCCGTCCAAACAAAGCCCGAGTGACTCGCAATAAATGAAAGCCACATGAAATTTCGATCTGGTCTTATAAATTAAAAAAAATAATAATAATAATTAATTAAATAATATAAGTACCTAATCATATCTCTCTCTATATATATATTATACATAGACTGGATAATGTAATTTTGGCTTCTTCTTTCTTAAGATACCTTCGTCATTCCCAGTTTCAGGAATTGCTTCAATTGTTGCAGGTTAGTACTCTCTTACTATTTTATTTTATTTTGAATTTGATTTTAATTCTTACTCTTTTTATTTTCTATTGGGTTTGAAAATATACATTTATTCAGATGATATTTTTTTTAATAATTATATTTTTCTTATCCCCACAATTCTGGATAAGTATCTATTTACTTTTAATACAAGATTTAAACCGTGATTGAATATATTTTTAACTCTTTTTATCAATTTATTTTCGTGTTTGTGTTTTAATTTTTAGATAAATGAAATTGTTAAATATAATATTTAATGTAGTTGTATGTTTAATAATATATTTAATATTTTTTTTTTTAAAAAAATTGATGAATAATAAAAATTTCGTAGAATCCTCCCAACAAACGCACCATCTGTAAAATAAAAAATAGTAAAAATAAAAATAAAAAATCAAAGTGGATAAATAGAAATGGCAACAGTCCGGATAAACCTGAGATCCACTTATTTATTTGGAATTGGATCCAGTAATTACCCGAATATTGTATCGGGTATGGGTATGGGTCGAATGTTATATACCGGATCCGGGTCAAAACTTAAACAGAGCGTTTTATGCCGGCCACCGTGCTCCGCCGCTTCATTAAATGGGCCTCGCCGGCGTTTATCCGAACATTTTGACGGAGTAACGCCGTCGGCGCTTTACTATTCATGAGTGTGTTGCCTGGTGTGTGGATTCGAAACTATTGGAACAATTTTTGCTTTCAAATGTGAAAAGTGGAGAGGTTTCAAAGGAATTCTCGAAGTAGAGAAGTAGCAAGCAGTTGAAGGAATTTTGATGGTTTCTCATAGGCAAATCCTAAGGCAAAGCACTCTGTATTAGGAACATTCAATGCGTTCTTCACCTTAGTTATCTAATTGATTCATTAGCATGTTTTAATGCCTCAATTTACGATTTCCTTTGGTAGTTTGGTTACTCGTCTGTATCGATCTTCTGTTGTTTTGATTTTAGATTAGTTTGATATAATCCTGTTTATGTTTTTGTTTATTTAGCTCTTTCAGATTCCTGTGTTGTTTAATTTCCTCCATTGTTGGTTAGCTTAGATCTTTTAGGATTACTGCAATTTGTGAGCATGGTATGCTCTTGAACTTGTGTTTTTGTTATTTCCATTGTTGGTTAGGTCTTTCTGTATGGTATAATCTTAATTCTGTATTTCCATCAACAGCAAGAAATGCCTTAGGGATTGCAGAAAATGGCTGTCATTGCAGCAGTAATCTCAAACGTTGTTTGGCCAGCCATAGAACTTGGAAAATTAATCTATCCTCCAATCAAGCGTCAGTTTACCAATCTCTGTTGCTTCAATGGCAATCTTCAGAGCCTGAGGGATGCATCGAAAAGATTGGATGATGCAAGAGAAGATCTGCAGATGCAAATCATCAGAGCAAAAAACAATGGTGAACAGATTGTTCCTCAAGTTCATACTTGGTTAAAAACTGCTGATGAGATCCAAGGCAGTAAGATTGTAACTGAAGTTGAGGTCCCAAAGGTGGGAAGAGCTTTTCTGAACATCAAATCTCGATTTTCGCTGAGCAAGAAAGCGAACGAGACGGCAGAATTGATGAGGAAGCTTCGACACGACTGTCGATTCGACTCCATTTCGCATCCGGCGCTACCTGCTGCAATGGCGCCATCGATCCCAAACGCTCGGGCATTGGAATTTGAATCGAGGAAACATGTTGAGGCCGAGATTATCGAAGCTTTGAGAAGTAAGAATGCTAATATGATCGGTGTTTGTGGTTTGGGCGGCGTTGGAAAGACGACCATGGTTAGAACAGTTATGAATCGAGCTAAGAAAGAAGGTTTATTCGACGAAGTTGTGATGGTGGTTGTCGGCAAGGAAGTCGACTTGTTTAAACTTCAGCATGAAATCGCCGAGTTATTAGGCTTGAAATTCTCGGTCGAGACGTTATCAGCTAGAGCGCATCAACTCTGTTGCAGACTCATGGATGAGAAGCGAAAACTCTTGGTTTTGGACGACGTTTGGAAGTCGATAAGGTTAGAGGATCTCGGAATATCGTGTAACAACGGTTGCAGAGTTATTCTTACATCGCGTGATCGAGGAATTTTTCGAGCAATGGATATGAACACATTTTGGGAAGTCCAAATCTTGCTCGAACGCGAAGCGTGGTCTTTGTTTAAAGAAAAAACCGGGGATTGCGTCGTCGATGAAAATTTGGTTTTGATAACTAAAGAAGTTGCGAAAGAGTGCAAAGGCCTACCGATTGCGCTTATAACAGTCGGGAGAGCGTTAAAAGATCAAAGAAGCAAGCCGGTTTGGGAACATGTACTCGATCAATTAAGAAGCGCAAATCCGGAAGACATTCGCGACGTTATTGCAGAAGTTTATAATCATCTCAAGTTGAGCTACGATTTTTTGGACAACAAGAATGCGAGATCGTTGTTCTTGCTCAGTAGCTTGTTCCCCGAAGATTCGAACATTTATCTCGAGCATTTGACTTGGTATGCTATGGGGTTAGGGGTGTTTGAAGGAATCCGAAACATGAAAGAGGCGAGGAATAAAGTGCACGCGTTGGTCGACATACTTAAAGATCGTTTCTTGGTACTCGACGGCCGCGACGAGCATCACGTGAAAATGCACGACGTTGTCCGCGACGTTGCCGTGTTCATCGCATCGAAGGAAGGGTGTGTTCATCTCAGTTCGACGAATTGGCTGCTCGAACACCGCGACTGCACTTGGATATCGGTGATTTCGAAGGACTCGACGGAGACTTCTTCAACTATTGATTTTCGGAGGCTTAACCTCTTGTTCGTCGATAATTCCGACGACATCGAATACCAATTGGACGATCGGTTCTTCGAAGGAATGCGAATGCTAAAGGTTCTGTTTTTAAGATCCTTCTGGCTGCATTCGCTCCCGCGTTCGATCGAAGTTCTAAAACATCTCCATACGTTGCATTTAGACACTTGTACGATGAAGAGCATCGCGATCGTCGGCGAGATGTTGAGCCTCGAAATCCTCAGCTTTCGATCGTGCCACTGGATCGAGGAGCTGCCGGTGCAGCTCGGGAGGCTGAATCGATTACGACTTCTCGAATTTTCAGATTGCACGAGCCTTGAAACGATACAGCCCGGGATTATATCGAGGCTAGCGCGACTGGAGGAGCTGAAGATGCTGGGGAGTTTTCGGAAATGGGAAGCTGAGGAAAACGGAAAAAATCGACGAAACGTCTCGCTCGTCGAGCTTCAATACTTGACGAACCTCGCGTCGCTAGAGATCGAGATCGGTAACTTCTTATTAGCCGCGCAAGAGATGTGCGTTTCGCCGAAGATACAAAAATTCGATATTCGAATCTACGGAAGATGGCCGAGCAATATAAGTAGTCGCGAAAAGAAGATGCTTCTCCGATTGCCCGAGGCGACGACGTTAGGGAATTGGGTTCGGAAGTTTGTGACGAGGACCGAGTTTCTCGACTTAACGGGAGACGGCTCGCACAGTTTGGACTTACGACAAGTTCTAAACGTGAAATCGCTCGGGCTAAACGATTGCTCGACCGTTAGAAAAGTTGTGAATTCGACGGCATCGATCGTTTTCCCTGTTCTTGAGTCGATGTGGCTTTGTAGGCTTCCTCGGCTCGAGGAAATTTGTGATGGCCCGATCCCGGAAGGATCTATTTCTTTCCGGAATCTAAAAGAATTGACTCTCGACTGCTTGCCGTTGCTGAGGCATTTGTGGAAGAGCCCGAACCAGAATGTCGTGCTCGACAACCTCTGTTTCATTCATGTCTGGATGTGCGACAATCTTCGAAATCTATTCTCGTTGGCGATGGCGAGGGGGCTTTCGCAGCTCGAAATGCTCGAAATTCGAAGCTGCGAAAGGATGGAGGAGATCTTCTTGAATGAAGATGAGAATCATGAGCAAGGTAAAGTTACATTTCCGAAATTGAAGAGGCTGTCGTTAGGTGATCTGCCGAGGCTCGCGACGTTCTTCAAAGGAATCGAGACGGTGGAGTTTCCTCGGCTGACTTACGTGGAAATTGACAACTGTCCGAACCTCGCTAGCTTCGCTAGCGACGAGTCGTTTCATCTCTTTTGCAACCCGAAGGTACGCATTTTATCCGTAGAAAAAAGTTCCATCGACATATCTGTGAACTATGATTATATATTTGTTACAATTTTATTAGTTTGGAGGCAAAATTGGCCGTAACTTTCCTGTGGTTTTGAAACTCAGCGTAAATCTCCTTTGTATTTTAAAAATTGCATGGCACACGCTTGTACTTTAAAAAATATTGCATAAAACCCTTCGCCATGCAAAAATATATAGACGAGAAATCATCTTCTCATCATACAAAAAAACGTAAAAAGAAATTTTATACAACATTTTTTAAAGTATAAGAAGATTTACCCTGAGTTTCGAAAATACGGGAGAGTAATGGTGAATTTTGCCTAGTTTGAATTATAATAATGAGATTAATTTATAGATTTTTATTGTAAATTTGTATATATGATGATTTTTATGTGTATTCATAAATTTTTAAATAGCGAACATTATGTTGTTATCCCGCTATAGCATTTTAGATGTTGACCGCCCTATATTGACAACTATGTCTACATGGTGAACTTTTTTCGCAGGTTTCTTTCGAAAGCTTGAAGGAACTATACATTCACTCATATGACAATGTTAGCAATGCATGGTGCCGGAAAATTCCCATTGGCTTCTTCGGCGAGCTGGAGAAATTGGTGATAAACAATTGCAACAAACTTAACAGCCTCTTTACATCCTCCATAGCCGAAAATCTTGTCAAGCTCAAAGAATTGACAATTCAAAATTGCGTGGAGATGGTAACGGTGCTTTCAGATGATGAAAACGTGCACCAATGCCTTCGATTTCCATGTTTGGAAACGTTGGAACTTCGGTGCCTAAATTTGAGAAGTTTCTACGAGTCGAGATGCGATCTTGAGTTTCCCGCATTGAAATATTTGTCGGTGTTTGAGTGCCCTCATTTCGAATGCTTCACCCGGGGATCCCTAAACACGCTGATCTTGAAAATCTTCAAAATCGACAATGAAACCATTGATATGGAAAACTCTTGATGGTTTGACTATTAACTATGTAAGTTACCGATGCATATTTCTATAAGCTTAAACTTTTAGATGAAATGATCATTTAATAACCCTATACTGTTTTTTTGTTTTGATTAGATGTTAATTTGCTATCGTTTAAGAATGTACGCCAAATGAAGAAAAAGACGAGGCGGAGGAGCAATGAGTAATAGGTACGCGACTCATTTTAGATTGAATTCCTCGGTTACATGGGTACGTTCCTTCGGGATTGGTTTGAATTTGATCTGTATTTGAAATTTTGTGTAGTTTCGGAAAGATGTGTTCTTTTGGATTAGTATGTTTGATTTGGGTTTGAGGAGCTTAATGTGTATTGATTTGATAGATAATAAATATAATAATGTAAATATGTATTAAATTAAATTAATAAAATTAATGATCGTGTGATTGGAGTATTAATTTATGTTAATTATAAATAAATATTTATATTGTTTTATTTATTTGTGTTATATAAAATATTATTCCTTAAAAAATTACATATGGTTTGTTTCTTTTGTAAGATCTTTCAAACACATTTTTCTAAAAAAAATTAATATATCACACGTACTTATTATTTTTATATTATTTACGTAATTTCTTATATTTCACGTAAATATGTTTTTGTGTTCATGTTATTATATCGATACACCCATGTGACAATGCATTGTTATTGTTTTTTTTAGCTCTGCCTGCAAGGTTACAATCTGAACTCGAGTTTACTTCTTTATAAATGATTTGGTTTTGCTTGAAAATGTCGAAAAGGGATTTCGAGTATTCCAACTTGATTTTTTGACAGGGAATAAATCAAATTTATGATCAATTGTTGATTGGCTTATGGAAACACATTGTTAAAAGTTGGTTTTCTTTTTTTTTTTTTTTTTTCTTTCTTCTTTCATTTTTAGAGTATTTTTTGTGTGACATCAAAGAATATGGTAATTATTTTGGAAGTTGGGTATTGTTTTGTTTGAATAGTGGTTTGAATATAATGATTCGTAAAAAAAAGAGATGTGGTAATTTCTCTACTCTTCGATTGCTTATTGGAATTTGATAAAAAGATTGGAGTTGGATTTTTTGTTTCTTTTTTTTTTAATTATTATTTTTTAACTGCAATAGCTACTCTTCAATTGTGTATTAGGTAAATTTCTAACAAAATGTAATAACTTACAAACTACGCCAAAATAAAGAAAGTTATACTAGACGAACCTTATGTGAGAAGTAACTACAAACCTTCCCTGAACACATTCTCTCCACCAATTCCTCTTAATTTGCAACATGAACTCTAGACAATATATCAGCTACTTTATTTTCAATTTCCTTTTTGTGTTCAATAGTGTAATCAAACCCCAAAAATTTAGTCAAATACTTATACCGCAATGGTGTCGAGACTTTTTGGTCTAATAAGTATCTCAAGCTCTTTTGGTCTATTCTAATAATGAATGGGGCATGACAAAAATGAGGCCTTCACTTCTCCACCGCCAATATAATAGCTAAATATTTCCTTCTCATATATTGATAATCCCAAATTCTTAGGACCTAAGGCTTTACTTAAAAAATGCCAAAAGGTGCTGGTCCTGCATAAGAATAACTCCTAAATCCTTGTAAGATTCAATAGTCTCCACAATAAAAGGTTTGGTAAAGTCAGGTACGGCTAAGATTGGAGTTGTAACTTTTAAGTAGCTGGAACGCCGCTTCAGCCTCTTAAGACCACACGAACTTACTCTTTTTTTTCAGATCAGTTAAGGCCCTAGCAATCATCCTATAATGTAAACTTCTTGTAGTATCCAGTGAGGCCCAAGAACCATCTTAGGGTGTGTTTGTTTGAAGGATTTTGGAGGATTTCTACTATTCATCCAATTTTTTTCCCCCAAAAACATCAAATCAAACACCTATTTTTCATTTTTTATATTATACTAAAAATCAATTTTACATTCAAAACATCACATCAAACTCTATTTATATCACATCATACAACTATTCAAATTCAAAATTTTTACTATTCAAATCCCAATCCAAAATCCAAACCCCCAAACAAACATACCCTTAATGTCTTAATATTAAATGGAGTTGGCCAATGTAACATTGTTTGGATCTTGGACATATTTATATGTACTCTCCCATTCTGTATTACGTGCCCTAAATACTCAACCTCCACCTTGCCAAAGTTGCACTTTGATTTTTTGGCAAATAAGGTGTGCTATGACAAAATATTAAACACTTCTCTTTTAAGTGTTTCAGATGTTTAACTTGTAAATGAGTATATCATCAAAGAAAACAATGATGAAATCTCTCGAATGAGACTTAAAAATTTTATTCATGACTGCTTGAAAGGTGACTAGTGCAATTATGAGGCAAAAAAGCATCACAACAAACTTATATAGTCCTAAGACATTGCAAATGTTGCCTTAGGTATATCATTTTCATGCATTTTAATATGATGATACCCAGCCCATAAATCTATCTTTGAAAATATAGTTGCTTATCCTAGCTCATCCAATAAATCTTCTACCAAGGGGATACGAATGCTATATTTAATTGTGGCTGCATTGAGTTTTAAGGTAATCACTGCAAAACCTCCATAAACCATCCTTCTTTTTAACTAGTAGCACATGTGAGGAATAAGGGTTGCTACTAGGTCGAATAGTCTCCGTTTGCAACATCTTATTCACCAAATTTTCAATTTTTCTCATTTGAAGCATAAGATACCTATAAAGATGTTGTTAATAGGTCTTATATCGAACTTAGTGGGGATTTTATGATTACGTTCCTCTTAGGGGATAAATTAGTAGGGACTTTGAATTGGTTCCGAAACTCTTGGAGCAATGTCTCAATATCTTAATGACAAACATATGTCTCCTCTTTTGTTTGTCCAGGTATATTGATGTTTTAATTTGTTATTTTATATAAAAAAATATTTTGTAAATTAAAAAATAAAATAAAATAAAATTGTCCCCCTCTAAATATATTCTAGTTCCAATACTGGATGCATAGAAAAATCCCAATGCCTTTCATTTTCAACTCCTTACTAAATTGGATTACAGTGAGCATACTTAATGCAATTCAAGTTAAATTCCTTTAGGGGTTGTTTGGTTCATGGATTTTTTTGATGGGATTGAGATTTTACGGTAGGATTTATATGTGATGGGATTTATTATATTTAGGATTTGGAATCCCATATTATGTTTGGTTGGTAAAATATGGTGGGATTTATATTTCGTGGATTTGGATTTTTTATATTCTAAATGACATAATTGTCCTCTTATGAATTTTATTTATTTTGACAATTTAAACCTCTAATTTATTATTAATATAAATTGAAAATATATCAATAATTTTATAGGATGACAATACATTCGCGTAAACTCGAGACCCGACCGAGCCCGACCTATTTATTTGAAGTTGATTCTAATAATTTGAGTATTTAGCCTGGATCCGGATCATGATCAGGGTAATATAATAATATATCAACTATACATATGAAAAAATAATTTTAAATAATATAATTATATTAAAAATATTTTTTAAGTTTAACTTATTCATTATTTTATTATAATATTTTTCTAATAAAATACATAAATTTTAATATGCATTAGATCTGGTACATGTGTAATTTTAAATTAAAATTTAAAAATTGTAAAAAAAATGGATTTTTTGGATCCATCAAGTCTTACCGGGTATAGTCTGGGTCGGATCTAGTATAATTGGATCCAATTTGAATCTCGGATTTAACAATATATATTTGGGATGAATATCAGTTCCGACTGAACCCGACTTATGGTTGTCCCTATAATTTTATAATTCAAATAAAATTTATAATAAATAATTAAACAATGAATTTATTAATTTATTTAAAAAATATTGTACAATAAAAAATAATATAAATTTAATTAAATATATAATTCAAATAATAATTAATTTTAAAATTATTTAATTTTTTATATAAATATAATACTATTATTTTTTTTTATAAGAGGATATAAATGTAAAAATTAAAATTTTAAGAATGGGATTTAAAAGTAACAGGGGTATCCCATTACAAAAAAAAATCTCTTTTTTTTTTTTTTACCAAACATAGATTTTATGGGATTTTAAAATCCAAATTCCATGGAATCTCATTAAATCCTTGAACCAAACAGCTCTTTAACATTCCTTTAATTATAACAATGTGCTCCGAAAAATCAAATGTTTCAGTTTTTCAAATTGACTTAGCAAGTCAACCCCAATAACCATGTCACAATCCCTAATTTCAATAATCTCACGTGAATACTAAACTTGTGACCCCCTATTTCCGAAGCAAACATGGGGCATTTAGAATTTCTTAACAATGGCGTTGAAATGAACTTGACCTGCCACAACATTCCAAGAGATTTGGAGTTCTTCCAACTCTACTTTCTTTATTTATTTTTTTGCACTTATATTTTATATAAAATTTTCTTTGTCTATGATCAAATATACTTTTATGCACTTGTATCCTATATTGAACACCTTATTACAATTGAAGTACAAATTCTTCTCGCTCTTCCATTCATTTTTTCAAGATTCCGGATACTCAAACATTGATCAAAGTAATAGGTTTTTTTTTTTTTTTCCTATGATTAAATATATTTTTTTTTGCACTTGTGTCATATATAAAATTTTCTTTTACTATGATTAAATATATTTTTTTACACTTAATGTCTTGTATAAAACACCTCGTTACAATTGAAGCACAAATATTTACAATTGAAGCGCAAAGATAGTCAGTTGAATAGCACTTTGTCAAAATAATAGGTTTTTGCTATATTCTTTGTAAGTCAGAGTTTAGGATTAATATACATTTTAATTTTATTTTTTTTCACTTTTTTTTTTAATTTTAAAATAATTTAATAAAATTCTATATGTTAAGTATAATATTTGAACCAATGACTTCATCTACACCAGATAAACTATATTATTAGACTATATTTCATTTTTAACCTAAATTCATTTATAAATGTTTTAAAAATTATATTTAATTTTAAAATCGGATCAGCCAGACACGACTCAATATTTTTCGAGCTTTCTTTAGGCTCAAATACGATTTTTTTATGTTGAATTCAAGTCGAATTTTTGAGTTATACCTATATTTGCAAGTTCTAACTACGGACGATAAAATAGCTATCTAGTAAAACACCACAAAAAGAAGGGGACGCAACTGAAGCAAGTCTTTCACGTATATCACTTTAAATAATAGTTCAAATGTAAGATTTTGGAAAAATAATATAAATATATAGAAAATAGTAAATAGTAAAGATTGTACAATTATTCTTTATTTTTTTCTCTTTTCATTTTAGAACATTTTATAACATTTTTGTGTGACATCAAGGAACAATGGTAATTATTTTGAAGTTTGATTTTTATTTTTATTTTTTTAAAATAATTGTTTGTATGTC